CGGTGGGGTACTGTATTGCGATTAAAATCGGAGAAGAATAATTTGTGAGTCAGATAAAACATTGTGATCCATCTTCGCCGAAATTTGGTAAAGTCATTACTTCGGTGTTTTTGTAAATATTGTATAAATGTGGCGTTAGTGCTTAGTTGGATACTTCTACATCCCATCTTCATGCGTAGTGGGAAGCCCTTGCTCAGTTTCCACTTGTTTCTGCGTTTCCCATTCGTCGTCAGTAGTGATGGTTTCCGTCGACCACGATGTGGTCCGTAAAGCGTTTGCAGATGCAAAATCAGCTCATTGATTTTGGCTACAAACGCGTCCGCCCATTGTGTAGGTGGTCGACAAGTGCACGTTTATGCCCCTTGGATCCCATTCTACCTTCATATTGCTCCACCTATCGTCGACTCTTCTTATTATATGAGCGGAACATCTATGTTTCGTTGTCGACTTGTCTATTTTCGAATTTATTTTACCCGACCCGGCATCACTTGTAGTGTGGCTCATAGCACTTCTCTTACTCGATTCGTTTCCTCCATTCGTCATACATGAAGGTCTTTCGGTTTAGGGCTTAGGTTAGGCTCTAGTTTGAGAATTTTCTTGTTCTTCTTTGTGAACTCCACTGGATGTTTGTCGAGTCGATTTTTCCTACGTGTGATAGCAATGCCGGGGTGTTCCCATGTTCTCATCACAGACATAGTCCTCAACTTTTATGGATCAGAGAAGTCTGGTACCGACTTTCCGACCCCTGAAGAATGAGTGGCTTGATGAGCTCAGGGCAGGGTCACACAATGCATTACTCGTAGTAAAATGCATCACTATCTTACGTCACTCCACTCTTGTCAATATGTAATTTCCTGAATAACGAAGGCGGCATAGGCTTCGAATACATGAACTGTACGTTCCTGCAAAACGTGGTATGTAGCAGTTGTATTCCAGAAGATTCTTAAGAAAGTTTTTTGAGCCATCCGCTGAATTTTCGACGTGTTCGATATTGAACTGAAATGGCAACCAACGTCTTTGCTGCATAACGGAGCGCTATGAGGACTGTTGCGCAAGAAAGCTTTGTGCGGAGTTTGGGGTGAACTAAGTAGTCCGTGGCTTCTCGGAGGGGTCATGCTGTTTTCCTTCTTCTCCTTTGTGTTCTTCTCCACGTTCGTTTTTCTCCAATTTATTCCTAATTCTATTCTTTTTCCGGGCTCGTCGAGCTCGTTTGAACATCGTCTCTGCTTCACTGGTTCTTCCAGAAAAGATGACATCTTAAATCAATGCGACAATACTCTTGGTTAATTCTGCTATGTTTTCAGCTGGCTTGGTTTTGTTTGTATTCGATTATTACAATATAAAAGTGCAAAAAGGGTGGTGTGTGCTCATTGCAAGCTGTGGAAATCAATCAAAAGATGAAATCGATACACATTACTGCTTTGGTTCGCATCTCACTGTGCTTTGTGGTGAGATTTTTCGACTTATCTGTATATTCTATATATATGTATATATATTTTTTTCTTCTGTATATATATTCTATATATACCTGTATATTCTGTATATATATATATATATATATATATATATATATATCTCGAGTACGGTAGTGTTCTCACATGCGCTACCGTACTCGAAATAACCACCACCATAGACGACGATTGCGAGGGAAAGAAACAAATGGCAAATTTTCTGGGTTCCGCACAACTCATGGAAACGGACCATCCAAGTATCCAAGTAAATGTTCTTACGAATTGCCTTTTTTTAGCCGACGCGAGTTTGGTAATGTTATTGTTGTTGTTGTCTTTGTTCAATGGGTGACTTTTCTGCGCCTTCGTCTACCTCAGAGCCTTTCCGTTGGACCACCACCCGTGTGTTGTTCACGAGAAATGAGTAGGATGAGTAGGATGAGTGGTAAGAACATCTATACCAACCTTGCATCCGTTAAAAAAGGGCAGTTCGTAAGGACACACAAACAGATATATCGATTATGATGTCGAAGTTTATAGAAACTCGATATATTGATTTTTCGACTGTTGTGTTTCTTCGAAATTCTCCAGTCGTTCACGTGTTTTCCGAAAGTGTCGCCGTCGATTTGTCATTATTGTTCAAATAACGTGGATACCGTAACCATTACTGCAAGACTAATTGTTCCATAGCCTTTTGTTCATATGTGGAGCAGTTCCTTGTGGGTTTCAGAGGTCATAAAAAATCTACCGTCATCAATTTCCAATACTGTCTAGTACAGCGTCAGATTTTGTTTACTGCCTACAAATTTTTAACGGCAGGGTATGATGTGAAATATAACCATAATGTTGCTGAGATATTTACAAAACTCCAGACCACTAGTGTCGGCGGTGGGGACCGAACACGCTATTGCCCTTTTTGGTGGCTAACGTGTTCACCACCACACCATGCGAGTCTTTCGTTTCGCTTGTCTCTCAGCCAAGTTATTGACCTTTAGGCTCTATCAGCAGTCACCCGTCAACAGGATATATCTGTAGAGTATAAATCGGTATGGACTTTTTGTTTAATGCCTACTAATTTTTAATGGCAGGATATTATGTCTAGTACAGTTTTTTTTCAGAAACGTGTTGCTTACGAAATGGTCATTGTTTGGTAATATTCCCTGTAAGTCGGTAATAGAATTCACAAACATTTGGAGATGTTAGAATGTCTAGTGCAGTCCATTCGATTCATTCTTCCAGTGAAGTAGTCGTGTCACCTCTATGTGACATAGTTTTCCTCTATTGTCGTAGTTCACCGAATTTACCGTAAGTGGTCGATTTTTCTCCAGTACTGCATGTTTGTGCAGAGTATATGCGATTTACCACGGTACTCCTCTTATGTACTCCAGAAAGCAAAGCACATCTTCTCATGCCTTCGGTAAGATGTCGTAGACCTAGCAAAGGAGCCATTCACTGCCTGATAGTTTTGCCTTCCAATTTCATCTTGCGTCTGGCCGACAGTGTCAATGTCGGACTGGAACCTGGTTTAGCACACGTAACTATTTCTTTCCTGATTTTTTTCGCCCTTCTCTCGAGTACGTAAGTAGTTCTTTTCTTTTCATTGGTGTTTCTAAAGTAACAACTAAAATACACCGATGCTCCTCATTAAGTAGAATGATTTCTTCTGCGATTTTCAGAGAGTTCCACCTGCAGTGTCATCATCTTTCAATTTCGGACTGTTTGTTTGTTTTCTTGTTAAAATGATCGTTGTGGTTTATCATGAGATTTGTGAGAGAAGTCGTACCTCTCAAGCCACCTGTCATTTTCTAGTTTTTTCTTGCGAAGCACATCTGTTTTCTTCTATAACTGTGGTGCTTATCCAGACACCTTTCGTGTGGTAGTTTAGTGTTCCGTATCTCCCATTTCCCACCTCCATATATTTTGTTGAGTGAACAAGTTTTGGAGTTCTTTAAGGTCTTCGTTGCATTCTAAAATTAATGAAATCCTGGATACTTACTTAAATTGCGTGATCTTTATTGCCGGCGATGAGAGACTCTTCATTATGGTTTCTTCACAGCGAAGTTCGTAGTCTGAGGCCTCTTGTTGCTCAGCCATACCGTCCAAGCCATCTATCGATCTTCTTGGATCGACCAGTGTTTATACGGTTGTTCGTCGATGATCAAAACGCTAAATTGCCTCTATGAAGTCATCTCGCATGATATTTCATATCTGTTTCTGTTGTTTCAGTTATTGCCCAAATGTCCACTTGTTGTTGAGGCGCCAAGTAGAGTGGTTGTGATCAATTTTAACTATGACTGATATCTTTCATCGTTTTAAGTTTGGTAGCTTAGACCATGCAAAAGGAAAGTAGATCGGGATTCTATTTCTATGTTTATTGTAGCTCAACATCCAATCAAAATAGTACGCAAATGTCAGCACTTACAACTCTACAGCGATATGCTTTGTAGTGCCGTTTAGGATTTAGTTGAATGCTTAAGTTCTAAAGAAGGATTCTGTTTCAACCTCGCATTTGTAGCTCTTAAAATTTCTCTTGAATAGTTTTTTTTCGAACATTTCGTAGTTGTGAACCAGTGCGGAGTTTCTCTAGAAAAGAAGCTTCGATAATAGTTATTCTGCTCCTCTTCACGTATCGTGCAAGTCGTTGTCGTCTGAATGGACGGATCGTGGGAATGAGGAGTTTCATCGCACTCAGCGCCGATTCTTGATATTAAGAGGACGTTTCTATTACTTTATCACTGAGGCCTACCGGTTAGATGACTTAACAGTGGTACTAAGTAGGTCTTTGTTCTCCTAAAAGAGTGCAAACCGTTCTCAGTAAAGGTAGACATGCTTGAGGACAAACGCTTGCTGTGATTGGAAATCGAGTTCTCAGGAGCAGCCTGTTGTGGTATCCTGCTTGCTTCGAGGAACTTTAAATTTAGCATTGGAAAAGATGCTACTTTTTTGTCAGATTCCTTGACCAAACGATGCAGTCATCATTCAATTTATTTAAAAGTATTTTCTTACATCTATCAGCTATCTGCTTCGTAGTAGCAGGTTAATAATCATTTCTCAAGGTTGTCGAAAAACAAATCACTGGTATAAAAAATAAAAAGCTCTCGGTTTTAATCAATCTCTGCGGTATGCGCCATGCATTCGACTTCTATCTGGCCTTTACAATGACTCAAAGTAACCTGCCGATTTGTCGAGCCAGTGCTGCTATTCTTCCAGATAGGTCTGGTACCAATTTGCCGACCCCGGAGGGATGGAGGATTTGGTGGACCATGGGCACAGGGATCGATTCCACGTATGTGTCGCAGTGGCGCCTCTAACCACTACGCCACACGCGCCCCAATCACTACTATATGGATATCAAGAATCAGTGTGTATTTTGTGTGAATCTTTGAGATGTGTCTTCCAATTTACCATTGTCTGTTTGTATCGGCTATTGCTTTGTTCCTGTAATCTTTCCCAAACTAGTGATTTCTTTTGCAGATCCTTACTTGCTGACAAGCTTCAAACTTCACAACTGGAAGAATTTTATGTTCTGATAGGGATTTTGTGGCGAAGAAGATGGCGGACGATGGATCGGCCCAGGATGAATCTGTGAGCGGGGGGCCAGGACAAGGAGTAGCGGTGAACTCTCAGGCTCAGGCTACGCGGCCTCATAGTCCACTACCCTCTCCGTCGCATATGCACTCTGACCCACTTATGCCTGTAGCGGAGAACTGGTGTCATACGCAGGTTTGCTTTATACACTTTTCATGTAAAACGATAAGGGATAACGCGTCCGGCGTCGAACAATCACTGAGCGATGCGCCATGCATTCGACTTCAAGCATGGTGAAGGTGGTTGAATGCATTTGCGGTGGCCTACTATGAGATGAAATTAATGTTTCTATCTTTCTAGAGAAATCTGGTACCAATTTACCAACCCCTGGACGGATAAGAGATTTCGTTAGCTAGAGACGGGGCAGAACTAGTAATATTACGTGTACTGAGTGGAGGCTCTAAGCATTGCGCTTTTTGGACCCTCTTATTACGTTCCATATTTAGAAGGATGGGTATAGCTTCTAGACCACAAGGTTTGATTACTATTCCAATAAATTTATGAAGCCGATAGTCAGTTCGATAATCCACACGTTACTTTAGCCATTGTTTTCTACCGTATAGCAACAGAGCAAAAAGCATAGTTACCATGATTATCTCTTATTGGTTCCAAGTGAATGATTGGCTTTACAGTACTCTCCAATCACACCTGTGGCGGTAAAAATTCTAGAAAACGGTCGATGTAATTTTCATGTTGTGTTTAATAATCGAAAGTCCAATCTTGTAGGTTTTACAACACCTTGCGGCACAATTAGAAGTAGAAAGAGTGGAATGTGGAGAACAATATCCCTGATAAAGTAGAATGTCCCACGTAAATGCCAGCACTGTGTGAAATATCTTCTTCCTAATATTGTGCCTACTTTGACTAACTTTTGAAGTTATACAACTGGGTGGATTACCATCTTTGTGAAACCGGCTTCAATGAACACATAGTTGTTGTCCGCTAACATTCCGATGTGCGAACCGTTTCCCTGTGGTGAACCTAAGTTTGGCTTGTGAGGTGACGATTCGAAGACCCGACGTCTAATAATTCTGTCACCAGCTAAAGGCTTTCGGATCGTTAGAGTGCTGATTTGTATCACTCGAGATACTACCATGTGTTTGCGAACTACGGAATTTCGTTTCGCGGTATGGGTTTCCCGTAAGTTATCCTGACCGGATATGGGTGCAGATCCTGCCTTAGTCGATATGCGAAGATCATATCACCAGAATACTTACTTATTTGAGTATTACAACACCATGGAATAGTGAGCGACATTGCTTTTGGGTGGATCCCTTTATCACCTCGGCGTGACCTCTATAGGTGTCATTTTGTAGTGCATGTTATGACCGGTATGGTCTCTGTGTGGGTCATTTTGACTTCTATGGTTTACTCAGGCGCAAAGCACCTTTTTCCCATATTTCTTGTGATCAGTCGATAGCTTGTCCAACTCAGATGTGGTAGTCGTCAGCCGAGAACAGTTCTGTTCAGCACCTAGAAATGTACAAAAACCTTGTCTTGAACGGATTCACTAACCGGTGTTTTAACTCAGAATTAACTCTTATTCAACTTTAATCGTTGTTACGAATCATAGCTATTTTATGGAATGGGGGATATAATACAGAAATAGAGTCAAGATGCAAAATACTCCAAGTCCCGACAGCGATATGTTTGTATGGAGAACCATGGTACTATGTTTTATGAGCATAGAGCGACATAGCAAGGTCTCTTCTGTAGCCCTGTCATGTCATATTGTCAATGGCTGAATTCTTCTAGTTCTTGAGATATTATCACTTATTGCCGAAGAACTAGCAGGCTCCTATCAGTCAAAAATTAGGCACTGTCCCATGCCACGGTTACAAAAAATCTTATGGAACAGCATTGAAGAAACTCGTAACAGGTGATAAAGCGAAGAGTTGAACTTTGAGAGTATGAATGCAGAGCTAAAGATAGCGACACGCTGTATACTATTTGGCGAGAAGCCGCAAATGCATAGTATTATGTTTTGAAATTGTAGTGCGGTGAACATTGTAGTACAATTTAACCCAAAACTGTTCGTCATGGAAGACCTTAAAATTAGTAAAGATGAGTTTATTATCTTCGGAATCATGTAAATTCTAGGTAAAAGTTGTCAAGTTCAACTACATGTGGACAATCAACAACTTTTCTTTCTGCAGGGAAGAAATGGGAGAGGTTAGTTCTGTTAACTTCGATGTTGACACTTTAGATTTAGCATTTGTTGAGCGATTAGATCCGCTCTCACTAAACATCACTTACATAAGAAAAAGGATACAGCTTTAGAAGTTGACCAATCCTTAGGAATGCCTCATGCATTTGACTTCATTAAGCATCATTTGGAGGCTATTGAATACATTTCTGTCCTTTACAATGACTCACAGTGGCCTGCCATTGTCTCGATTCAGTACTGCCATCATCCCAGACAAATCTAGTACCAATTTGCCGACCTCGGAGGAATGGAAGACTTGGTGGGCCAGGGGCGCGGTAATCGATCCTATGTGTATTGCAGAGCGCTTTCGACCACTGCGCTACACGTGCTCTATATCACCTACACAAATTACAGAAAATTCATTTGTAAAAAGATGCTGTTCCTGAGTGGTTTTGATTAGTAAACAAATGGAAGTTCTATATTTTTTTCTAATAGAGTATTCCGCATTAGGTCAGAATATCAAAAGTAAGGTGGTGAAGAGTATCAGGATCTTACATTATTCGACCATTAACTTGAAAGCAGTTTTGCTCAACTAGGAATGTGATTTGTTAAAGTGAAATGGTTGGATGAGTGGTAACATTGTGTGTAGTATAAAACCTAAAGTATGTTTTTAGAGCCACAGTGCAATCAGATTAAGTTTATTATTATTTTTTGAATCTTCTGATAGCTTGAAATCATTGGAAGTAATCAATTTGAATCGTTCCGTTGAAGGTGTTAAAATCGTCGACATTCTCAGCTGGCGCGAGTGACAAATTGAAATGGTGTCTTCGTATCAATCCGAAAGGTTTGGATGAGGAATCACGAGATTATCTCTCACTCTACCTCCTTCTGGTGCAGTGCGCCAAGAGCGAAGTTCGAGCCAAGTTCAAATTTTCTATATTAAATGCCAAACGGGAAGAAACTAAAGCAATGGGTAAGATGTGGTAATTTACTGTTTCTTATTCTCTTCTTGACTGTATTTATTTCATTGTTGACCTTACTATACAATGGTGGCATGAGTACCAGTTTCTATTCTCGATAGGATAATTTTGTTAACAGCTCAATTTAATGATGTTTAACTTTTACTCACAGTCTGTTTTTTTCATAGAAGGGAAGTGCAACCATAATGATGCTGAAATATGAGCAAAACTCGTAATCCCAGGTGAGCTTCGAACCCACACTTATCCTTTCCAGGAGCTCACGTATTCTGTACTGCACCACCAATCCCTTGCTTTGCCTTTCTCGCGGCCGGTTTTTTTTTTGGTCTAACAGTGCTATCAGCAATCACTCGTCAGTGGAAATGATCTAGGAAGCAAAAGTCGGCACCGAAACCGCTTAAGCTGGAGCTGCAGTCAAAATCGTAGTGTTAAACTTCTATTTATTGTTTGCTATTTTTTTTTCTTGAGGCCGCTAAGCTCGCTGGTGTAGTGAGTAAAACATGAACTCATGGAAAGGGTGGTCGCAGGTTTGAAGCTGATCTGAGGTTCCAGGTTTTGCTCATGTCTCGGCATTACTGTGGTTGCTTTAAAATCATTGAATTTTCATTTGTTCTTTGTTGAGAATGTTTGAATTTTATCAAGTTATTTGTTAGTTTTCACGTTCATTTTACCCCTGATATTTCCATTTTCTAGTGTTTTTCAGCTGGAATTAGTTCCATCTAGTCTTAACAATCTTTGATAGCAGTTCTTCATGTTTTTCTTTTTTTTCATTTTCCGAAACTTCCGTTTGGACGACTCTGTTTTACTAAACGGCAACTTCGATTTTTGATTTGACCAACATTGAGCAGGAGATTATTGCCTTTTTCGGAATTCCTAAATTTATAAATAACAAAAACATATTTTTTAAAGTAAATGAAACAATACAGCTGAGGACACTATCTGTAGTTGGAATATCCGGGTACAACTGAACTATTCACATTAGGCTACGAATTCCTATACGGCTAAATTATTTTGTTCAAATTTCAGAATCTCAACGAGCATATCGATTCGTGCAAGGCAAGGATTGGGGGTTTAAGAAGTTTATTCGACGAGATTTTTTGCTAGACGAGTCAAATGGCCTTTTACCAGATGACCGATTAAGTATTTTCTGTGAAGTAGGTGCTTTTAAGTATTTTCAGGAATCTCTTAGCAAGTGTAAGAGATTTTAGGTATGGTAGTAACTAGATACCATAGTAGCTGTGTTGGTAAATGATAAAGCATAGAGCTGTTGGCGTTAATCAATCCCTGAGGGATGCGTCATGCATTCGACTTCATTAAGCATCATTTGGGGGGGGATTGAATGCATATCTGGCTTTCACAATGACTCGGGGTGACCTACCGATGTATCGAGCCAGTGCTACTATACCCCTCCCTCCAAACAAGTTTGGTATCAATTTGCCGACCCCGGAGGGATGGAGAGCTTGGTGGACCATTGGCACGGGGATCGATTCCACGTGTGTGTTGCAGGACGCATCCGATACTGCGCCACACGCGCTGTTTTGGTAGGGAACGCAAATTGCAGGCCGGATTTACCAATTATGAATATTGTGACTTTGGTCATCTACGTGTTTTGCTTTCAAAGACTTCACAAAAGAAAAACTGTTAACTTAGACAGATTTTCTGATTCATTGAAGAAAGTGTCACGTAAAACTATTTGGGGTATGGTTTCTTGTTACATCAGTGTTTATTGTTCTCGGACATGAAACGGGACATCGACATTTATTTTCAAAGTGTTAAACGCGGCCACTTGAGTCATATGTTGTGAGTGATGTGAGTCGTGCGTCAGATGCGCAGATGCGTGATATCGTGGTAACAGTCTGTCGATCGATCGATTAGCATTCATTACATTATGTGGTATAGTTCTAAATGTCTAATTCCTAGCGATGTTTACTTGTCCTCACTTGATTCCAGTCCATTCCACTGGTTTTCCACTGCACCGTTCGATGTTGCCACGTGTATGCTGTTCACCCCAGATAAGATTTGTCGCTATAAAAGCCTAGATTCTAGCAGTTACTTGCACTCAATCGGTCTCGCTGCAGCTGATGATGGTTGATGGTTGTTCCGTTCCCACTGCCGTTTTTTCAACAAGTTTTACACTACCCTGTACCATCTCCGTCTCTGTCTCCATGGTCGATACCTGTGGTTTCGTACATCTTCCATGCAAGAGCTGTCCTCCGGAATTGTCGTCCCAGCCGTACTTTCCACAACGTTTCGTTATCCATGCAGAGTACTGATGGTAAATGACCCGAGAACTAGGAATAGTCACTGTTGCCCACGAAAGCGTACAAGCAGGAAGAGGAATTATCAAGGCAGCAACGTTCCTGATGTTAGTGCCGTCTTTGACGTTAGAGATTTAAATTTTTTGTTTCACCCATAGGGAAATACTAAATTTGTTGTTTAGGTTTCTGTGGTAGCTGAAACGGTGAATGTTACCGGACAAACCAGTGCTCAGCAGTTTAAGGTACGGCGATTAATACCTGAGTCGTTTGTTTATGGAATGTTTCGAAGAAAGAGGAGAAGATGAACTTTGAGTAGTAAATCGAAGTTCTACACTGGGGATTTTTACTATTTCAAGTAAATCTTTTTCATATTTAGGTACCACCTTGTCGACTTTCTGAAGATCTTTCGGCGCTTTTCGAGAGTAAACAATTCAGCGATTGTACACTGGTGGCAAACTGCAAGTCGGGCGTTCCGCAAACGTTCCATGTAATTTTAACTCATTCCGATTGGTTAATTTTCATAGCATGTCAAAACACACCCTCTCAGTGGGTGTAAAAGAACTTATCCCACTTTCAATAATTTCGTAATAGTATAAAATCCCTGTACCTGTCGGCGACTGCTTTTATAAATGCTGATTTCTAAAAGAGCGGAAGAGAAACCGATGTAAACTCTTCCGGGACCGACAACGTAGTTCAGTTGGAGACGTTTTGGAAAAATGTTCCAATTAAGGGATGAGCTAGCTAACCTATTGACTTTCCCATATCGTAGTCATTAGTCAGAGGTTTTTGTATTTTGTAATTGTCCTAGTTAGTTAAGGACGAGTGCAATGAAGTACTAAAATCATATTCAATAGTTGCTGAATGATTACCTGTATCATCAATCCTGTTGATCGTCCAATGACTCGAGGGAGCGCCAGTAAACCTTTCATTTTTCCCTATCGCGTACAACAGCAGCCCAGTAGGTTCTGCTCGCTGTAGAGACTAGTTGAGCATCATACCCTTCTTTTAGGGTTCTCAGGAAGAACCCTGACCATCGGGTCGGTGGTCTTCCTGCAGTACGCTTGACATCCCGAGGAATCCAGTACATAACGTCTCTTGTCCATTGGTTGTTCACACGAACGTGTCCGACACATCTTATCCTCGACAATTTAGCGTACAGAACGGCACCTTTGATTTTTGATTGTGTACGTAGGTTGGAGCTTCGGATCTCTTCTCTCACTTGTGTGATACGGGGTACTCATAACATCATTCTTTCGACTGTGCTTCAATAATGAGTGATCTTTCATCCTGCATACGGAGCGACCGGATTTCTGACGCATTCGTTAAGACAGGAAGAATCGTGGAGTCAAAAAGGTGGACACGAAGTCGAATATTCTTTGTTCTCTTGGCTACAGCCTTGATGCTCTTGAAAGCTCTCCAAGCGGTTCGCTTCCTTCTGCTTAACTCTGTAGCTAAGTCGTCGTGGGGCATTCGGAGATATTCGTGCTGTTCAGCGTGAATGGGCCATGCGTAACCAATCCTTTCCTCAAGAACATCGTTTTTGTGATATACAGTTTAATCTTTCCACGACCTTATCAAACTCGACAAGCGTTCATTCCATCTGGCTCGTTTGGTGTTGTAAGAACGATGTCATCAGTAAGGCAAATATGGTGTAATTGGCGACTATCAGTTTTCGTCACCATATTGCCCCATGCCAATGTTCGCATGACGTTCTCGAGGGTGACCATAAACAATTTTAGTTAGGTGCCATCGCCTCGCCTAACCCCTGTTTTGACGTCGATGTTAATATCACAATGATGCTGAGGTATTTACAAAACTCCAAACCGCAAGTATCTTCGGTGGGGATCGAACCCGCTATTACCCTAAGAGAAAGGCGAGACTAAAGACCCGCATGGCGTGGTAGTGAACACGTTAGCCCACGGAAAGAATAGTAGCGGGTTGTACCGTCATCTCAGAAACCTGTGGTCCGGAGTTTTGCAAACATCTTGGTGTCATTGTGGTTACATTTCACCACACCCTGCCACGCAAAAAAAATAGGCAGTAGAAGTGACTACATTGTAATGTTATTGTCGTTGTAGAATGGTGATATCTTTATTGTGAAATCCACATGTAGCTCACGAGATTCTATGACTACTTCAATCACAATTGAATCGAAGGCCTTCAAATCGATGAAAGTGAGACATAGTGGTCTTTTGTACTCTCGCGGTCCACGAACTGAATCCTTTTTGAAACCCTACTTGCTTACATGGCCGTCCTTCGTCCAGTTTTCTACCAATCATGTTTAGGATGACTTAAGTTAATGGTTTGTAGATGGCAGACAGCAAGCAGATTGTGCGATAGTTGCCGATGTCGTGGAAGTCACCCTTCATGAACAATAGCACGCTTTTGCTGGTCTTCCTCTGAATAGGGACTTTGCATTCAGACAGGTAACATGTGAGAAGCCGATCTAGTTTGTTTATTGGGACTGGCGGGAGGTTCTTCAGGTGTTCAAATCTTTTGCTGTCCAAACCTGGTGCTGTTCAATTTTTCACGGAAAAGGGATATCAAATTTCGGAAGAGAAAGCCGGTAGCACGGCATATCCGTTCTCTATTTCATATGAACGCAGGAGGATGTGGCCATTGAGGAGATCCGAGGAGTAATCATGAATGATTTTCTCCGTTGCCTTTCTTAAAACTGTAACTTTTTCGTCCGGACTTCGGAGTGCAATCATCTTGGTTTTTCACTTATTTACCGACTACTCTTCGCAACATACCCTGCTATTAGAAAGAGTAGGCAGTAAATAATAAGTGAAAATTGTGAGTATAACTATAGCTTCAGCTTAACTGGGTTCGTTGCCGATTTGGGCTCCACAGATCAATCCCATTGACGGATGATTGCTGATGGCCAGATCAATAGAACTAGCTGAGAGACAGACGAAACAAAGTACCCGCGTGGAGTGGTGGTGAACGCGTTGGCCCCCGGAGGTAGTAACGCGTCTGTTCCGCATCTTAAACACCTGCGGCCCGGAGTTTTTCAAATATCTCAGCATTATTGAAACATCTTGGTTTTGTTATTGGCGAAACTTCCGTGGGCTTTTCGAATGCGTTTCCAAGCATCTGTAACTTCAACCTTGCCTGCTGCTCTTCTCTCTTTAAAATCTTCTTTTACCGTCTGTCTGCATTCTTCTGCAAGTTCGGACGTGAGTTGGCGGTTGTCTGCAGCTCGTTTGATTCCACGCTGGCGTATAGCTTGAGTGTTCTGGAGAGAGACGTCTCTTGATGACTTTCGAGCTCTCAGTTTTCATAGCACTATCGTGAAGATGTTGAATGAGCCAATCGTATTCCTCGTCGATGTTATTGACAATGGCATGTTTCCAACAGCCGACTAGTGAATTGAATAAGTCCCAGTTTATGGTGGTTTTGGGACTTCGTTTTTTCAATTTATCGGTTTTTTCTTCTTTTCGCAACAATTGGAATCTTCCACAAAGGAGACGATGGTCTGATCCCGTGTAGAACTTTATGAGAACAACGATATTGGTTAGGCAAAACCTTCGGTTTTCTATGGTGTGGTCTATTTCGTTGTTGTTTCGTCACGGTATTGTCTGAGAGACTCCTATGTCCAGCGTTGAGAGAGGGATTTCTGGAATTGCTAGTTATCAGGGATGGTCGTGTTAATCATGAGGAACTCGGACTACCGCACGACCACTGTAGTCTGTGGGTTTCTGTATAACGTTCTTCTGGGTCCATTCTTAGCATTGAAATCTCCAATTATGACCTTCAGGAATGTATGATCTTCTCTGTAGAACTTCTAAAGGTCCATATAGAACGCTCCGACTTAATCTTCATCATAGTTTAATTTGGGTGCATAAGCGACAAAGATTGTCAAAGCAAGTATTGATCTACGTGTGTTCAACCGTAAACGTCCGATTCGGGTTGTAAGTTGTTTGGACGAAGCGATGTTAACGACAAAGCTTGTGTTGACGGGAACTCCGGCGCAGCCGATTCCTCTGTTAGAAGTTCGGCCAATGCTCCAGAATATCGCAGTTGCTAGTGGGAATTAGGTCTTTGAGTCAGTTCTCAGCATTGAATAATCACTAGCTCCAAGTAGAGTGCTCGACCTCATAGGGATTTATCACTCGGGATTTTTCCCATGTTTGTCATAGAGCAATAACGTAGGCCTGGGTAATCAAACCTTTGTATAACAATATTAGTGCAGCAATAGCGAAATGGCGATAATGAGACCATAAAGGATAAGGAGTGAGAAAGCGCTCGGCGTTGATCATTCCCTGAGAGATGCGCCATGCACTCGATTTGATTAAGCATCGTTGGAGGTGGTCGACTACATATCTGGTTGTTACAATAACTCGTGGTGGTCTATTGATGAGTAGAGTCAGTGCTGCAATCCCCGCAGACAAGTTTGGTATCAATTGGCCGATCACGGAAAGATGGAAGGTTTGGTAGGCTTGGACGCAGAGATCGATGCTGTGTGTTGCAGGGGGCCTCCGACCACTGCGCTACACACGCCGTCTAACACATCTTTAGCTATAACAATTGACCGTGTGTGTGAATAGTGTAAGCAACAACATGACTGATAGGTAGATATAGTATATAGAGTAATAGGATGCACTAGTAATAGTAAAATATACAATGTTGTTATGTTATACCTTTTTATTTTCTGCCTATTATAATTTCGCGGCAGGGTACTAAGCGAAATACAACCACAACGTTGCTGAGATATTTGCAAAACTCTGGACTGCAGGTGTCTATGGCGAAACAAAGGATCCGCATGGTGCGGTGGTGAACGCGCTACTCCCC